AGAAAAGTTTTATGACGAACGTTTAAGGGACCAGAGAGAACACTCGCGGACAAAATTTGTCGCTTTTTACAGGTTTCCATGGCAACGGTAGACATATTGGAACTGAACAACCTCACTGCACAACTACAACCAGTGATTGTCCTTTGAGGAAAGTTTCAGGAAGATTGTCCCAGCCATCTCCGAGAAACAGCCTGGATAAAAAAAACATGCGTACAATATCAATATGTCGTCCCCGACTTCGTTCGGGGCGACATAATAACTCCTGAATTTTTCCCATCAATAACTCCTGAATTTTCCCCTTCAATTCGAGCATTTCTGCACTGTACAGGTCTGATGTTTCTTATGAGATGATAAATCATGTGTAAATTTTCTCAGTTTAGCGGAATCATGAACATTTTCGGCGAGATGAATGTTTTGTTTACAGTAGTGATCAAGGCTTAGCGCACCTGTATAGGAGCGGATCCAAAGATTTATGAATGAATAAAAACTATGGAAATAACGTACCAATTTTCTAATTTATTCTTGCACTATTTAATGAAATTAATAATATACAAGTAATAGATATACCAAAAAACGCGAAATGCTAATAAATGAAGTTGACAATTGTTACTTTTTATATAGAAAAAACAAAATAATTATAAAATCTAGAGACAAGACAGAAGAAGAATGACTGTTGGCAAACTATCAAATCACATCAGGAGAACTGAATTTTATGAATGAAACTTTTAAAACGTTACCTGTAAATTGTATATGTTATATCTGTGTATTCTACCTGGCAGTGCGCTTCAAAAAGGGGGGGGGGGGTTGTCTTGAACATAGTACCTTACGTTTGAACGGTAAGGGCTAGGGCTTTCGTATTTCAAATATGTAATCCTTGTGAAAAGAACTTTTATTGGACACCAAGAACTTTGACCCTTTGACCTAGACCTTGGAGAACACATGTGTACATCTGAATCTTTTTTTCTGTTTCGTTTCTATGGCAACTGTGAGCGACTCATTACATTTTTTTTAAAAGGAGAAATCACTTTGACACATTGCAAGGAATAAACACTGAAAGTTTCAAAACGATTGCCTGCGTAGTTATTGAGAAAATCGAAATTAAAGAATTTTAACTTTCACCTGGTTTCCATGGCAATAATCGATTATTTGAAAATTTTAAATGCGAGTTGCATAACTACAGATACTAATCATTAAAATAAGAAAAGTTTTATGACGAACGTTTAAGGGACCAGAGAGAACACTCGCGGACAAAATTTGTCGCTTTTTACAGGTTTCCATGGCAACGGTAGACATATTGGAACTGAACAACCTCACTGCACAACTACAACCAGTGATTGTCCTTTGAAGTTTCAGGAAGATTGTCCCAGCCATCTCCGAGAAACAGCCTGGATAAAAAAAACATGCGTACAATATCAATATGTCGTCCCCGACTTCGTTCGGGGCGACATAATAATAACTAGTGCTAATTGTAACGGGGACCGTTACAGATGTTCCCCAAACGCTCACCAACTCCCTTTTGGTGTCATATTCCCCGTACGCTTCATCAAATAGGACAAAATCTATGCATTTGAGACTTTAACAACACCAAATTCATTCAGATTTTAGCATTGCACGCGAGTGCATGTGAATGCATGTGCGTAATGACCATATCATCTTGTCTACACAATCTATATATTTAAATATAGTAAATATTAAAGTATTTAATGCAAAAGTATTTTTAAAAAAAAAACGCTCATTCAATTGTTTTTTTAATTTTACCCATTTCACGTGCACGCACGTGCATACATGGGCATGGTGACCATACCTTACTGTAGAAGTCCATTACATCTATCTATGTTCTAAATCCCACCACGTTTGGTTGAAAACCAAGGGAGTTATAGCTGTTTAAAGTTTCAGCCAATCAGATTGCAGCGCACATATAATCACATGTATGCACGTGATGGTGACCATACCTTCTTGTAGAAGTCCATTATATATATCTATGTTCCAAATTCCATCCTGTTTGGTTGAAAACCAAGGGAGTTATAGCTGTTTAAAGTTTAAGCCAATCAGATTGCAGCACACGTACACGCACGTGTATGCATGTGCATGGTGACCATATCATCTTGTAGGAGTTCATTACATATATCTATGCTTTAAATCCCATCTTGTTTGGTTGAAAACCAAGGGAGTTATAGCTATTTAAAGTTTCAGCCAATCAGATTGCAGTGCACGTGCATGCACGTGTTTCCATGATAATTGCTATATATCATGTTGTTGGATATCCTAATGCATGGCTATGCTCAAAATTTCAAAGGATTTCGTCAATAAACAAAAAAGATATTGAGACTTTAGTTTCAGCCAATCAGAGCAAAGCGCACGTGCATGCGCGTGAGATCTTGCTGTTTTGACCATGTAATCTTGTCTTTACTACTAATATATCCTTACATTATGAGTTTCAAAGCATTTCATCAAAAATTAGAAAAGTTAGGTAATATACATTATATTGGCCATTTAACGTGTTGCACGTGCTGGCTCTTGCAAGCACGTGCGCGCAAAATGACCTTCGTTCGGCAAATCTACATAACATCCCTACTGACCCAAAAAAGGCTTTACCTAAGTCGGATGTGTAGTTTACAAGATCACTCGCGGACAAAATTTTCCCAAGAAGAAAAATAATAACTAGTGCTAATTGTAACGGGGACCGTTACAGATGTTCCCCAAACGCTCCCCAACTACCTTTTGGTGCCATATTCCCTGTAAGCTTCATTAAATAGGACAAAATCTATGCATTTGAGACTTTAACAAGGCCAAGTTCATTCAAATTTAAGCATTGCACGCGTGCGCATGTGAATGCATGTGCGTAATGACTATATCATTTTGTCTACACAATCTATATATTTTTTATATACTAAATATTAAAGTATTTAATCCAAAAGTATTAAAAAATACGCTCATTCAAGTGTATTTTTGATTTATCTCATTTCATGTGCACGCATGTGCATACATGAGCATGGTGACCATATCTTCTTGTAGAAGTCCTTTACATCTAACTATGTTCTAAATCCCACCCCGTTTGGTTTAAAACCAAGGGATCAATTGCTGTTTAAAGTTTCAGCCAATCAGATTACAGCGCACGTGAATGCATGTGCATGGTGACCATACCGTCTTGTAGAAGTTCATTCTATCTATCTATGTTCCAAATTCCATCCTGTTTGGTTTAAAACCAAGGGAGTTATAGCTATTTAAAGTTTAAGCCAATCAGATTGCAGCACACGTGCATGCACGTGTTTTCATGATAATTGCTATATATCATGTTGTAGGATATCCTAATGCAAGGCTATGTTCAAAATTTCATAGGATTGCGTCGAAAAACAAAAAAGATATAGAGACTTTAGTTTCAGCCAATCAGAGCGAAGCGCACATGCATGCGCGTGAGTTCTTGCTTTTTTGACCATGTCAACTTGTCTACGCTATTAATATATCCTTACATTATAAATTTCAAAAGATTTCATCAAAACATAGAAAAGTTACGATTATATCCATGATATTGGTCTTTTCACGTGTTGCACGTGCGCACTCTTGCAAGCACGTGCGCTCAAAATGGCATGTTGACAATGTCATCTTATCTACATTTATAATATGTCTATATATTTTAAATATCAAAGCATTACATCAAAAAATTGTAAAAGTTACGGCAATTTCAAGTATATTGGTCATTTCACGTGTTGCACGTGCTCGCTCTTGCAAGCACGTGCGCGAAAAATGACCTTCGTTCCGCATATCTACATAACATGCCTACTTATTATAAAAAGGTTTCCCCTTAATCGGATGTGTACTTTACAAGATCATTCGCGGACAAAATTTTCCCAAGAAGAAAAATAATAATAATAAGAAACAGAGTAAAAACAATATGTTCCCCAACTTCGTTTGGGGAACATAATAATAAGAAACAGAGTAAAAACAATATGTTCCCCAACTTCGTTTGGGGAACATAATAAGAAACCGAGTAAAAACAATATGTTCCCCAACTTCGTTTGGGGAACATAATAAGAAACAGAGTAAAAACAATATGTTCCCAAACTCCGTTTGGGGAACATAACTACGTTTCCTCTTTCCAAGTCAAATCTGGTCTAAGGATATGTAGATAACAGGTTTAATTTCTAGGACCACTATTTATTAATTATTTTTCATGTTATTTCCTGGGTCAGTTATTTTGAGAGCTTAAAAATAGCATTATTATATTATTATTTTAAGTTCGACTCAGTAAATTTGATAGACGACTTCATATGTGATGATGTGGTTCATTCCATTTACACGTTTCTAATTCATTCATTTTATAGATCTTTATCACCATTTTCATAAGTATGAAAGCTTAGTAAGGACAAATATTATTTTCCTATTTTTTTTTCAATGTCCTCCCATTTTCTATTACACTTTCCAACAAGTTATTTATTCATTGTGAATATTGTGATTTACTTTTCCAATAAATCTATTTTTGATAAAACTTTACTTATTCATTTAGCAAAGACTGTACTATTGGTTAAATTTTATCAGTATTTATTATTTGTTATCATTAACGAGGATTATTTTTCACTTTATTATATAAATAAAACTTACAAATGCATTTTCATTTAGTGCTGATCATAGTTCAGAAATCTTCATACCTGGGCTGATCATTGATAACTGGAGATAATTTAATACTCATTTAAGACAAGTTGGCTAGTTACTTTGGTAAATTATACACTAAAAAGTCCTACTTCTGGTTACAGTATGTGTTCATTTACAAACTCCACTAAATATAGTAATGTATCACATACAACTACATATTCAGCTATAAATGATAAATTCAATATATTAGAAATGTTCAGACATTAGATTCGTTCCAGGTTCTGTGTTTATATTATAAATTCTATAGCCATAGGTCACATGACAGAATTTTGAAAGCCGGGCAATGACAATTTTATTCATTGGCGATTCTCATGTGAAGAGATTTAGTGCGTATATCGGCAATTACAAACCTTCATCAGAGTTATTTAACATTTCAAACCTCACACAAGTGGCATTTTTGGAATCAGCGGGGGTGCGGTAAAGAATCCGCGCCATCGTTATTGGGGGCCGCTCAGCACCATCGTCAAGCATGTCTCATTGTTCACCAAGGGGGAAATGGTCTAGATCGCAGAGAGGATACAGTAGAATTATTGATTCACGGACTGATGGATTTCTTGACGCAGATTCGTATACATTTTAGTAATAACAAAATTATTGTGATGGAATTTATTCTTCGAGAGAGGACAAGGCATATTGACCCACAGGAATACAACGCTAACGCATTCCTCGAAAACCAATGTCAACAAGTTGGTCTTACCTATTGGAGGATGACAAGATTCACAAACATTAGAGACAATATTTCCTCTGCCGGTGTAACGTTGAATATTGACCCGAGTTGAAAATTGACCCGGGGTCATTTTTCAACGTTGAATATAGAACTGGGGTCATTTTTCAACGTTGAATATTGAGACTAAAAGTCGTTGAATTTATACCCGGGGTCATTTTTCAACAGCTTGATAATTCTTTTCTTAAACCTGATGACGTCAACAAGTTGAAAATTGACCCTGTTGAATATTGACCCCACCTCAAAGTTTGAACATTTTTTAGATGGGAAGTTGTTTAACGGGATTTATCAGTATAACTTTATTCATATTTTCAAGAATAATAGAAATAAACATACAGTATCACCCCGTGTATACATGTAAATTTTGATCAGTGCACGGTTACAGTTATCTTTGCAGGGGCGTAGCAACGGGGGGGGAGCTTGTCCTCCCCATTCTTTTTCTCAACCTTAACTATATTATATCAAATGTTAACT